AAGAGATAAGAAATAAGAACTACGGGAACTTAGTACAAACAAAGAAAGAGTCAATCAGCGGATGTACTAATAAACCACGAGAAAACCAAAAAGATATGGGCCTTTATATTTACTGTCTGATAAAAAACTAATAAAACCTTCTAACGGAACTACATCTCCACTGCTGAATGTGGTGTTCATACGTTAACTAATGGCCGCATAATTCAAGATCAATGCGTTTAAATTAAGCAAAAGGCTGCTGATAACATTTTAAATAACTCATAAAGACAAAACGAAAAGCAATGCCAAATTTTTTAGCACTAACAACAAAAACAAGTATCCGGGAAAACAAAAGTTCGCTAAATATTCATATTTCTAGACTCCATGAACTATACCCACATACACCACTTCACACATCAATTATGTACACGTATATTATATATTAAAATATGTATTAACACATTCATCAAACTATGTACACATAATCTATGTGTCTAGACACACATATAAAAAATAAAATGAAAATTTGTAGTAATAGTCTGACATATAGTTGTTACGTCGTTTTTCTGAACAACACGGAGAAATTACTACATAAAAACGTGATATTAACGATGCCAAACTTCACTTATAACGCCAAAAACTGGGTTTCGATACCCGTGGTGGGCACAGCACAGAAATTCCACGGTGTAGCTTTGTGATAAACAACAAACAAAACAGTTTGAACAATTGCTTCGTTTTTTTCTTTCTTTTTCTGTTCTGTGGCTAGTCAAGTAAGTGAAAGCTTACTAAGGGCAGGATCTTTCATTCCTGATAAGTCCTTTTTTTTCTCCTAGAAAGTGGATTTGTACTAACTTTTCATTTTTGTTGGCTTTCTATATTGCCCGTGACTTTTTTGTTGTCAGATTTCTATATATTAAAACGATTTTGAATAAGCACATCAGTAAGTCACGTGGCTTGGCAGCCGATGTGAATTCGCGGTGGAATAGCATGTATTAGAACTAGATTTTGACATTGACGTTTTATAGGTAGTTTGGTGTCGCCATTAACTGATCGCTTTTGGAAAAGGAATGTAACCCTTTCCAACCCAAAATATCCTTGCACCCACATCATAAAAATGTGTTCAGGTCGAGGATTTAGAACTTCCAAGACAAGTAGCCCTTCTACTTATTGTTATTGGCACTGGTAAACAAAGGAATAGGGATCAAATATGGGCCAAAGACCAACCAGAAAAAGACATGTCATACGTTCCGCGGTAAACAAAGTGCGGCGTTTTGTAACAGATGAGAATCCGCGAACACAAAGGTCAGTAGTAAGTGCCGTTCACATGCCCAAATACACAGTACGCAACGGAATAAGGAAGGTCGTCCTTTTGGACACGAGGCCAACAAGGTATGGATTCACCAAGATAAGACTTCCAGTTATATTATACTTCCTGTTTAATCATCGCATACCTCAAGCAGCTGGAGAATGAAATGGTTCTTCATGCTATTCCATACGAATACATACTGGCCAAGTTGACGGACTTTTGAAACGGGCATTGGATAACCGTCGTCATGACCTGGTTATTAGGACGTTCGACTCGCAATCTGCGCGTCGCGAGGTTAAACCTCTTCATCGAACATGCTCGCCCTTTCAGCCCTGGGAGCGTAATAATGTGATAACCAATCCCACTATTCGTAGGGAAAGAGTAGTCTAAGAGTTGGCGGTGAGTGGTGTTGATAAGCTGCCTTCCACCTGGTATAGTACTTCAAAAGTAGGGACGGCTAGCGCAGATAGCTCTCGAGTAGTTTGCGCGTAATTCAAAAAACACATAGGAAAAACTTTCTGAACGCGACTTATTCGAAACGCTTACAGAATTAATTTTGAGACATAAGTAAATATAATCTTTTCATGTAACTTAATATGGCCACGCAGAAAACGATCAGGAATTTTGATGTTGGTAAGCACTGGTGTATAGTTTAAATAATTGTTTTTCATTTTATGTACAACGTGCTGGGGTTCATAATTATAAAATTAAAAGATAAATTTACAAAAATTGTAAAATTGAATATCTTAATAAAAAAAATTATAGTCTGAACTGTAAACTTTCGTTAGTTGGTATCAAAGCTTAAATATATACAGGCTGTTTCTAACTGCAACCATTAAGTAAATGTTTAATACGTTATCAGCTAATGTTTTGTAACATTTTGAGTATTCTAACTGTAGCGTTTGATGATTTCTTTTTACAAATATAAACTTCATATAACATAACTTTTGTTGCAACAGTATAATACTTGAAATAATTCATATATATATAATAAGTTTACAGACATATAGCGCTAAAATCAGGGATTCGATTTCCCTTGGTGAACTGAGTACAGATAGTCAATTGTGTAGCTATACACTAAGGAAACCACAAACAACTTATGTGTAACATTACATATTCAGTAAGCGTTCTGCTACTTTCTATAAAAATACGTTTAAAATGAGCAAGGTTAGTTTAAAAAAAGGTCTGGTAAAAGCTCCAGTTCATTAAAATGTAAAAGGACATTCAGATCTATACTTATTATCAAATATTATTTCTCCTAAGCCTATTTCAACTCAACCCACGTGGCAGCTATTATTCTACAACTATTCAGAATCAAGCTCTTACAAGCAGGCATGCCAAGAGTTTTATTTTTGGGAACTCACTGTGAAAGTGCAAATAGTTTGATGTTCTGGCTGGCATCCAGTTTCGACAAAACAGATATGTTGTCAATGTGTCTGGGAATGGCAAGGAATATTTAGTCAAGTCTTTAATAATATCACGTATACACCTTCTATTTATACCTTTACACACTGGCTTCAAATGAGACCGGGAGGAACTCGAACCCACAACTGCTCTTCGAAAAGCACGTATTTGCGAGTTCGAATCATACCTGATATCATTTTTCATTTAATTAGATTAATTTTAATATCACTGAACTGTTTGCCGCCCTTAACATTTCCATAATTGGACCTTCAGTTATTGGCTGTTTCCTATTTTACTATAATGGACGTCGCGTGTGTATATCTATCTATGTGTGTGACCTAAATAATAAATACACTGTGGCGCCATCTTTTGAATGTCACCACAAACAAAAATCTATAAAACATTTCACACTTTGGGCATTCAAGAGTCAGACAATTCGAAAAATAACTATGCTATGTGCAACAACCGTTTCTTTATCATAGAACACAATTTAAAATAAAAGTACTCTCCTCACAACAAGAACACGACTTTCACTAGGACTGTACGTGAGGATTTGATTATATCTTTATTGATGTAATTTGTAAATAGAGTACTAAAAAAGGCGTCCTTAAAAAAACTATTATTTGTTCAATATAGGGTACCACTTTTAATATACAAAAAACATTACAGTTTATACTAGCATAATCCGAACACTTTTCCGGTGCAATACTTCCCAGAAAAATCCTTTTCTAGAAAATGTTGGCTTTTTCTAAATATTTTTCTATGAGGTATAAATACTACGATTAGTAATTACTAGCATAGACAGTAGCCCGTAGGGCGGCGTTTCAGCTAGTATACTTAACCCTCAAATTACTGACTTGTTTCTATACCATTTATTATCGGTGGGATCCATGTATCACACCATATTAAGTAGTTTTAATGTTTTGCCTGTTACGTGTGAATTGGGTTAAACCACATATTTTCTTTGTAAAATGTATAAGAAACCTAGGCAGTAATTAGTAGTATTCGTTTGAAATATTGACGGTATTTTTGTTTAAATATCTTTGTATGACTCGTATGTTATTCGGGACCTTGTAGCTAACAAAATCATGGATCAATAAGCAATGTGGTGTATAAATAGTTGAGAAAAATACGTCTAAAAAGTCAGTTGGGGCTTATCTATTCTACCACTGATTCCAACATTAATCAATGTAAATAGCCTTTGGGTTTCAAGTTACCTCTACCAATTATTGTGAAAAAAAAATTATATCAATGATAAAGTACTTTTCCATAATCAAATTTTGTTTTGCAAGTAAAAAAAAAAATTAACAATATTTTATTTTTAAAACAATTATATTCCATAATAATTGTTAATAATTTTAAAACTTAACTAGCATGTTTCACTCTTAAGATCTATTTTACTTTTAAAATAAACGAAATTAATTTAACGGCACGATAAAATATTAGTGTTTTTACTTGAAAGTAGTTTACAAAATGTTGTATATATATATTAGCTTTATACGGAAACGTTTGGGACAAGGAAGATAGATATATGTAGCCTTATTTCTTTTATCTGATACTATCTGCATAATTTCTTAAATCTACTGAAATAAAACGTCGCTTGCTTATAAACCCAGGATCAAGATGAGGAACTTAAGTGGATCTTTTGCGTGCACTATTAAATAAAAATAAAAACTTATTAAACAACTTTATTTCCAATTTTATATGAAATTAATGTAACCATTCTATGATAAATTTATGTCAGCCATAATGTTTTTCTTTTTAAATCTTTATCATAGTAAAAAAAATTGAAGTAAACATTTTAAATATCTATTCGTACATACCTATGTGAATTTGTTACTCTCATTACACATCAGCACATGCACAGTAACCAGTCGCTGTGGATTGACGCAACCTCATGTTACAGTCTGGTTTTTATGGATTTGTATTTCATCTGTTTCCTCAACATTTATCAAAATTTGGTTCATCCAATTTTAATTTTCTTCTATTTTGGTTTTAAGTTAAGTCTCAAGTCATTTTAAGTTCTGGTTTTCACAGCTGAGAAACTATACAATGTTCTTTCTGATCAAAACTCGCATCAAAATATCATTTATTATATCCGCGTGTCTCTCTCTCTGTCTACGTGGAAACCTCACGTGTCTGTTCTTGTGAATTTGTAAAATTATGAGATATGTTTATATCATTGTAAGTCAAGCTATAATTTTTTGTGAAGCTCACATTAACCTAAATACTGGCAGATATAAGTGATAACAGACTCATAATTTTATGATAGTGGCATGTTGTGATAATATAATTCTTCATTGTCCTTTAGATGAAGTAAACCTTTTCGGAGTAGCAGCCCATGAATTTGGCCATTCTCTAGGTTTGTCTCACAGTTTGGAACAAGGATCTCTTATGTTCGCCTACTACCAGGAAATAAAGGAACACTTCCAGTTGCCTTATGATGATATGATTGGTATTCAGCAGCTATATGGTACGTACTGGTGTTTGAAAGACAATATATATCCTTGTTATATATATGTAAGATTTCTACAACTGAATAGGTTCATATTATTGCTGTCAGGACTAATGTGTTGATTTGATAAAAGAAACATTCGTAAGAGTTGTGTAAAAATTCGACAAAGCACTGTTATTTTACGGAAATCCCTCATCCTAACTTGTTCAATAACAACTATGTTCTTTCGGTTTACAACTTGAAAATATTGGTAATTTTCTAATATATATTATGCGTTAGGCTCACTGTCATATAAGTTTGAAAAAATGATAAAACCACACAAAGAAAACCTACCTACTATTATTACAGTTTATTACACTTGTCATTGTTGTTTTTCAGAATTTGTAGTGCATATTTGGAGGACAGACATTTTAACAATAAAGTTAGGAGAAAAACTACTTTACTCTCTATATAATGATATAGAAATTTGTTTCAGCCAACGTTTCGCTATTGCAGTTTAATCTGGGTACTATAATTAATAGCCTTCACATTCTTAATTAGAACTTCCAGTTCCTCAGTGGTAAATCTAAAGGATTATAATCTCAAAAATCAGGTTTCGATACCTGTGATGGGCACAGCATAAATGGGTCATTCTGTAGCTTTGCGCTTAACAACAAAGAAGCATATCTTAGAGGAGGCTTCTTTAGTAGCAGAGGCGCGAAGTTTAACACGTAATGCAACCTTCGAATGATATAAGGCTTTATTTAAAAGTTTAATTAAGAGAGTTGTAAGTTTGCCTAAGTGGATTAATTAGATAAATTACAGCATTGTCGGTTGCAATTCAGAAAAATACGGGGTAATTTGATGGTATTGTTACGACAGCGGAAGTCCCGTGACGCAGGGAGCATGCGCGTTGGAGTTTCTCGAATTATCGAGAAACCCCGCGAATGTCCGAGTGTTTGCTAGACGCCCTCTTTTTTAGTATATAAGCCTGGCAAAGAAAGCCAGCGATAGATAGACAGAGAAATAATTGAGTCAAATGAACAGTAGCCACGTGAACCGTAAATTGTGTATGCCTTGCAGTTGCATAGAGTGAAGTTATCGAGGTTGTGAATCGAGTAGAAATATAGACATGTTGTAATTTTTGAAAGTATTGATCTATTTGCAGATTTGTATGAGCGTAAAGTGTGATTTTTTGTGACTGTTGAACTGTATATATTTGTTACGTTTCTGAAGGTGCATAGCTGTGTGTACTATGTTAGTACTGCTAATTAATAGTTTAGAGCCTGCCCAGAGCACATGCGCCTAACTTTGTTAAAATAGTAGAAGCAAGTGTAAGGAAAACTGGTCAACCAATAAAAAATATTCAAAGTGAAGAGGCACGTACACCTTCCGCCTCTCTGGTTAGACGCCTGTGGTACAGACGTATCACGTTTGTAAAGTACAGAGGTACATATGTGTTATGTCTGTGATTATATCAACTTTACACATTGATTTTGTGTTTGTGAAAGTACAGAAATGTACATTCTAGAGGTCTTTTTGAAAATATAGTTTTATGTGTTACGTTTTGTAAAATTATATATCAAGCTACACAAGCATTATGCTTTTAATGTAGAGCTACAGATACACTTTTTGTTTGGAAAAGTATAAAGTTAAGTTTTTATTATCTTTGTGAAAATGCGAGGTTGTTTATGTATATATATTAAGTTTTCGAAAGTGTAAAGCTGTGCATCTTTTTTGTGCGTGAAAGAGTAGGGCCGCACACACTGTGGTTATATGTTGACAAAACACGTGTAAATTTGTGTTTATGAAAGTAAAGCTGCATACACCATGTGTTTGTGAAAGTGCCATAAATAGATAAATTACAGCATTGTCAGCTGCAATTAAAAACATACGGGGTAGTTGAAGGTATTGTTTGTGAAATTGTGCAGTAGTTATGTAGTATATTTTGTGAAAGAGTAGAAATGCACATATGTTGTAATTTTTGAAAGCATCGACCTACTTGCAAGTGTTACCTTGTATGTTTTAATTTATTAATGTTTAGATTTTCGTTATAAAATTTTTAGTATATTAATAATTTGCAAATCGCTAACTATCAAAACCGTTTCTTTCAGGTTCTAAGAATCCGAAAACTTGGGCTCCAATGCCACCACTGACACAGCCTCCTAAAGTCCGTCCACCCAAACCTACAACAACAAAGAAACCAGTTTGGAGACCAATAACCCAACGGCCTATTCATCCTCGTCCTTCCACTCCTTTACCAGAGGAACCCAAGCCAACACCTCCTCCTCAACCCAAGAAACCTGATGCTTGTGATATGCATATAGATGCTATTTCAATTATTCGCAACGAAATATTCTTGTTTAAAGATAAAGTGAGTACTGTGAAGTAGTATTAGGCCAATAATTTCTGTGCATAAGTACAAATACAGAGTAGGTTTAAATCATGTTAGAATTTTTAAGTATATAAAAACTGTACAAAATTATTTCAACTATTGTACGAAATACTAGTAATTGAAATCAAAACTTGATATGGTTAACTACCTACAATTTAATGTTATTGCCATTTTAGGCCTTTATGTCGTTAGTAATTATTTAGAAAATGTGCAAAATAAATTATTTCTATAACCATAAAAATATATGTTTCTTAGAGATGTTAATAAAAATAATTTTCAATTAAAAATTATTATGAACACATGAAAGTAAATATCCTAAATGAAATAAGTATCAGGATCACTTCCTACTGTTTTGTGATTCCACAATTACAAAAATAAAAAAAAAATAAAGTGAAAACAACTACTGACTGTAGAAAGTTTTAAAATGTGTGTGGAATGTTGTAGAAATTGCCAAATCTGCCTTTACAGAACCTGTAAATTTTTTGTATTCTGTGTTTCATTTGCTTTAAGTTAACTTACACTCAATCTCTTGTTTATGATGCAATGTATTAAAGCACAATGGGCCTGATCTGGAAGTGTGTTATTAATATTTCCCATTTCCCCATTAACCCACAAATTTTATTTATTATCATCATTCTTCAATTGATACAAGTTCAGGTTATTAAATTTTATCCTGTAATAATAATATGATCTTGCATATTTGTGGGATAAAAAAAGAACATATCCTTTGCACCCATTATATATATCATATTGCTTTAATTGTTTTTCCATAAATCCAGCATTTTTAGACCATCACTGTCGATATGCATGGTTTTATGCTTGTCCTTAAAGTCTACAATCAATACAACCTTTTTTTTTCTCAACTTTTCCTAGTCTTGGCTGATGAACCTGGTGAAATAATATATACAAACATCTGTGGAACTGTCTTAACATTACTCTGGTTCAGATTTAGGAAGGACACGATATCCCTGACAAACATCTCCATACTCCAGTGTATAAGAATGAAGTTAATACCATAGTTTTTAAAATCTGACCTGTCCTGGTGTTTATAACACCCCATTGATAAGGTGCTAACAAGTGTTCTGGATCTTTGTGAAATGTGCAGATTATAGAATTAACACAATAACCCATCAATAATGGTCTTAATAAATCACTATTACGAAACTATGTTAATTATTTTTTATGAATGTGTCTGGATAGTTCTAAGATCTAAAAACTGTTTTAAACACCATTCGATTCAAGTTGTGACGTTGAGGGTAATTTATATATATATTTCATATATGTATGTGTATTTATATAAATTACATTTTTCCCAAGTTTTACAAGGAATTTCTAGACGCATCATACATTGTAACAGTATTTGATTCTAAGGAAAACTGAAGAAAATAGTTTTTAAGTCCTATATACATAAAACTTCGTGAGGTTCACATAAAAATTCATGAGGCCTGACAAAAGATGAAAATATCTCACGCGAAATTCATGAGTTTCAATTGGTTTGTATGTTAATTCACTTAAGTTTTGTCGGTTAATGAATAGAATATGAACACTTAATTGGTCGGGAAAGACAACTATAATACGATAAATAAGTGTGATGTTTGTTTTTGCTTAATAATTTCGCATTCAATTCGTTAAAACAAACTTTACATGATTGGGTAAAATTGTGTTTGGTTTGTCATTATTGGTGGATTTTCAAAAGCTTGAAAATAGTTCTGAAGAGTTCTTCGATATAATCAATGTCGCTGGATCAATAACAAAAATTAAATATATAAAACGATAAATATCAAGGGAGTGCAAAGTTTTTTTTATTACCGAACGGTTTCGCATTCGATAACAAACTCCTTACTATTCAATAAAAGTTTAAGCTTGCTTCTCGATTCCTGGTGGATTTGCGAAATCGTCAACCGCAAATAATAAAAAAGCAATTAAAAAAATTGTGGGAAACACAATGCAATGACAAATAACAATTCAAAAGAAAATTCTTGTTACCAAATGGTTTTGCATGCGGTGAAATTCATTTCTTCATTCTCATTGAATTTTCAAAAACTCGAATGACTAAATTTTACCAAATGACCCATTTAATTGTTGAGAGTGAATAATGCTTCGCCCACTTTACTCCCTATGTATATGTATAATTTGCTAAAAAAATAATCATTTATGTAAATCACACAGGAATCATAGGATTAATTCTTAGAAGCCACGAGAATTAAGATGTTAAGATAATGAAACATAGATAGCTTCTTATAATTTTCTACACACTTTGCATGTTAATAACTAAAAGTTGGTGTTATTTCGTTTAATAGTACTTTTGGCGTCTGGATGAAAAAGGTTCCATTCGGTGGGCTAGTCATTATCCGACAGAAATTGATAAGTTTTGGTACGGTGGCTTGAAGAAAGTTGATGCAGTATATGAGAGGACTAATGATGGAAAAATCGTGTTCTTTAGTGGTGAGCTGAACCAATCCTTTTCTTAAAATGTTTGTTGACAAATCACGTGTTGGTGTTATTTCACTTTCTGTATTAATAATTTTCTAAAAGTCTATGCTTTGAAAATATAACAGAAACCTAAAACAAAACAAAACTTAAATTTTCAAACTGCGTAAATTCTTTCTTGAAAGTTGAAGTAAGTCTGTTTTCATTCCATCAAAATATATATTTTATTTTCTCTACTCTGCACTTATTTGAACTCGTTATAGTATTTTTAATACTATAAAAAGTATAATGGCATTTTGGTTTCATGAACGTTTGTAACTTTGGCTTGTATTAACCTGAAAATAGTTTTAGTTGAAGAAAAAGATGACGAGGTTCAATGTTTAGCTTAAGTTTTTAGCAAGTTGTTAGAGTCTCTGACTATAATTTCAATTGAAGATAGGGATGTTCCTAAACAATAGGAAAATCACAACAGCAAGTATCAAACCTAACTAGCTGACCTAACATTTAAAGGAAAATGTCAAGAATATACACTTTCTTTCCATTGTCAAACATTGTATGGTAATGATCCATTCTGACAATTCCACGGTGCTGGCTTATATCAATCACCAAGGCACCACCCATTTGAGATCCCTCTGTTTTCTCACGTTGTATCTCCTATATTGGGCCCATGCACAAAACATTCACTTAATTGCGTATCATGTCCCAGGTGCTTTCAACCTGTGGTGGATCGTTTTTCCCGCTTCTTCAAGGTTTACCCAACAGAGTGATCTCTACGTCCTCTCATTTTCTGGTGGCTTTGCTGTATGTGGGGTATTCCTCACATTGATGCTTTCACCACCACCCTTAATCACCAGTTACCCCTATTTTGGTCCCTAGTCTCCCATTCTCAGGCTTTGGCTATAGATACCTTCAGCCAGGATTGGGCACACAAATTCCTATGTGTTTATCCCCCTATCCGATTACTTCATTGGGTAGTTTCCATGATCCATGCCACTTCATGCCAGGTACTTCTGATTGCTTCCTACTGGCTAGCTCAACTATTGTTTCCTCATTTACCCTAACTACAGTTATTCCATTCAGTACCACTTCCCTTATTACCCAACCTCATTTGTCAATCCCAGTCACCAGTTCTATATACCACACTTCATGTCCTCCGTCTTCATGCCTGGCTTTTATGTGTGCCTTGGCAAGGAGATCTGGTTTCTCTCATCGTGTAACTTTTCATTTGGCCCAATCCATCCTTACTTCCTCTATGGTAGTGCACATAGGCACAGGCTCGGGGTTTTCTGGCTGCTCGCCCTACTGTTGCTGGTGCCTCAGAATTTCTCACGTGGCTTTTCAACTGGGGATCTTCAGTCTCCTCGATTTCAGGTTATCGGACAGCTTTATCCCATACTTCTGTTCCTTTTGGATTGGGATATTAATGTGGTCCTCCATTCCCTTACTTTACTTCCATTCGACCCTATATTCTCATGTTCTTTGTTTCACCTGTCCCTTAAGGTGTATTTTCTTCTCCTTCTGGTCTGTGGGCATTGATGGTCTAACTTTTTGCCATCGACGTTACATGCACACTTTACCACCCTACTTATCTTCTCCTTCATCCAGATCATTCCTTCCTCCCCAAAACCTTGGCTATTCGTGAGGGTAACTCCTCCCTTTTGCCTATTTCCCTATCCTCTATTTCTCATCTCTACCCTCATCCCAATTTGGATAGACTTCTATGTCCTGTTCATTGTTATATTGCCCACACACCTTCCTTCCATGGTTCCCATTCTAATCTCTTTATCCCTTGCCAACCCTCTTCATACAGGGATCTCTCCTCTTTTACACTCACCAGTTGGATTTGTCATTTGATCCAGTTGGCTTATTCCTCCTTGTCCCCTTCCCAGTGTAACTTGTACTGTGTTACCTCTAATCATATCTGACACCTCGCCTTTTCCCTTCCTTCTCGTCTTTGTGAACTTCTGGAGGAAATCCTACAATCGGGCATATGAACCAACCCTAACACGTTCAACTCCCATTACTGGGAGTTTCAGCTTCCTTGGGTTTTCGCCTTCCGTCTGTAGCAATACTCCAATCTTTGGTATGACTCTGAAACTAGGTAAGTCTATATTGATAATTTATTTTTTTCTAGGGGCCCAATCATCATACCTTCATTACTTGGATCCTGCTCTGTGGCGAGTGGTGCCTGACCAGGTATTCTTTAACTCCAAATCCGCATTGTATGCCATGTTGAATAGTACTTTCTTTCCATGGCTCTGCACGCTCACCTTTGAGATGTGGTGTTTCACAAGATTGCTTGTAGGTGAATATCTTGCAATATTTGCTTCATAAATTAGCCAGTCCCAGACCGTACCTCCCATGGACTTTCTGGGTAAAGCAGATGTGGATAGCTACCCATCTCTGCTATGCCTTGATTGAAAAAATCGGTATTGTCTGCTTTTTAAAATAGGGTTTCGAGATCACCCACTGCACTGTCTCATGTGTTGACATTCTTCCAGGCTCTCCAGTGCATTCTCATCCTCCTTTCTTCTAGTGGAGTATGGGATTACTTACTACTTACCAGTTCCAAGCCACTGGGGTGGTTGACCATGGAGGCACCCTGCTGGATGGATTCCACATAAGATGGCTATAACCATTCAGTTCAAATCAGAGTAGTGGTGTTCTGCCGGTGTAGATGATTTAATATCCTCCAATTTGCGATTAAACATACAACGGAGTGAGATGTCAAAATGCAGTTCACCCCTTCGATTGGGAGACCTCTTCCTACCTACATGTGGATGTCGGTACCCCACGAGCTGGTTTTGGATTTTGAGTGAACCAATCAACATAATTCCTCACACAGGTTTTGGGTTGTCTATCTTCCTGTGTTGTGGGCCACAGGTGAGATATGTGGGACTATTCCAGTTCTATCTTTGGCTCTCCCTCATTCTCTCTTATTAAGTGGATGTTATTGCCCTTTGAATGGTCCCAACCTGTTTCACTGTTGCAGGAGTTGATTGTATGCGATAAACTTCCTTTCGATACCAGATGTCACATTTCCAGATCAATAGCTTAGAGCTAATTCTGTGTAATACCCAGGAATCAGAGTAGTTCTGAATTCCCCTGTTCTTGGGATTGAGGTAAGATGGTATGATCCTCATCCTACCCTTGCACAAATGTTAGTACCCCAAAAGGATGTTTTGGATGTAGTTGAATTTCCAATTACAGTCCACTGTGCCCTAGCCATTCTACACCTTTGGACGCATCCTCATTCACCCATTTTCTTATTGTGGGATTGAGTTACTATATATTTCTCCAGTTAGGATTACTTTCTCTCCCACTAGGATGTGCTCCTCTCATATTCTGCCCTGATTTTTACACATTCTTCAACTGGGTGAAGAGTATACCTGGATCAGAGGTAGTACGGTTCCCCGCTCCAGATCTTTGGATCTGACTGTCTCATCTACAGGGTATCCTTTGGATGCTTTTGGGGGGTTATGTCTGTTCTTCTCTCGCACTGGTTCCTCCTCCTAATCAATGTGGGATTCTAGCTACTGTTGTGAGAAGAGGGAAGTACCATATCAAAAGTTATAATTTTCCTATACTGAAATTTTTTTTGATAGATATTTCCCTCCACTCACACTTCCACCCTTCCTCTCCACTCACTTCTGGTGCTTCCGTCATCTGCCAAACATTGAAGTGATAGTTCGGTAGAGGCGCATAGATGGAGTCACATGCATCATGTAAGTGTACTATGTTCCTATTGGTGGATAAGTGATGCATGATCATTTGCATAAGAGACACTTCGGAAATACGTTTTCAGTATAGCAAAAATTATAACTATATCAGAACCAGGTATATGTTACTTTATTTGACTTTTGTTTTTTTAATGGGTCACTCAAAATCAAATAAGATCATACCACAAAAGCTACAGAATTAGTGAAGTCTTTTTAAATTTGAATAATTTACTTTTACGAGTACTTCTTTCTTTTTTATCTATATACACAGATTGAGTACATTATGGTATATTAAAACTATTTTGGAGTCTCACTATGTTGTTACAGCTCATATTGCCATTTCTGCATGTTCCATTTGATGACTGTGCATCATGAAAATAGCCTTGCAGCATAATTTATATATTCAAAACACATAACTTTAATGCTTTTCATAATCCATCTAGTGTACAAGAACAATGGTTTTCTGATGTCCGTTTCAACAGCCCCATCACACAGAAATCTGTAAGTGCTGCATACAGTAACTTGACTGGTATGTTTTGTTTGGAATGGCATTAATACCTATTTCCTTCTTCAGCTGTATGAGGTATGCAACAGGTTAATAGATACATTGTGGAAGTAACTTGTGTTGCTTTTTCAGATGAAGATCCTTCTTGATCATATTGTGTACTGTTGCCTGGGGTATGTGGACGATTCTTTCCACTGACTGTTGTCTATGTGAATTCTCACCTGTTACAAAGACATCACCTTTTGCTTACCATGGCTGAGATATGATTTGTTGCATGTCTCTTTCTTGATATTCCTTTGTTTTCCAATACCATTAAATACAAGGGACATCCCCATTTTGGAAATTTTAAATCTCTGACCTCAACACATCATTATGAGCTGAATGTTTCAATATTTTACCATTGGAAAGGGCTATTACATACCCTTCCCAAAAATTATCAATTTTTTGGCAACATCACACTACCTATAAAATGTCAAAATCTAGTTGTGATACATATTATTCCACCATAACTTTTTATCAGCTCTGACTGTCACATGACTTGCTAAGTTGCTTATTCAAAAATAATTTATTTTGATCAGAATCCCAAAGCCATATTATTATTCTACAGATGTCTAATAATTTATCACCTTCCTAAGCTGGACTCTGTTGAACAGATTTATTACTGAGATACTTGATGTTGAATTTCATGTCATATTTATAAAATAATTCCCCCTCCTCCAAAAAACACACCTTTTTTACTGACTTTGTTATGTATGTATTTTTCTTGAAAATGTGTAGTGAACGTTGTTCTCTTAGCTGAAATTTGGGTTTTTTATAAAATTAACATATTCAAACTTATAATTTTCTTAATTGTTAGATTAGAATACTGAAGTTGCTTGCACAGTTGTTTCTAATAAAACAAAGTAAAAGCAAAAAATTGGTAAAATTTGAGACTAACTTGAATGACTGTTTTTAGCTTTTCACACTAAGCTACATGTAATGCTATAGCTTAACATTATATATTTAATTCTATTTCTTATTAGTTTACTCCACAGTAAGCTTGATATTAGTCTTCACCAGCATTTAGTTAATCTTTCTGTAGTGTATATAGATTTTGTTGTGTAAACTGTTAGTGTACTCCTCAGCAAAAACAACTAACTCGTTTTTTTTTTTGCATATGAATACCTATCTAAAAGAAGTTTAAATATATTTAAAACTAATAGAATACCCAGTATTCTCATACAGTCCATTTTACAAGATTAATAACTTTTTTGAATAACATGTCAAAACAAAATTTTACACTTATTACTCCCTAATATTTGAGTTTGCACTTCCAGCTTTAATCACCACATCTAAACAGAGTGAATATAATATACAGTTTTTGCACTGTGATTAAAAGTTCACTGCTTTTTAACAGAGTTGTAGTTATTGGTGCACATATATATGTTTTTAATGAAGTATTGTTAATTTGGAAACAAGTGTTTTCTATCTGTACATTTCATTGTCACTCAGGGATAAGATAATTTTCAACCATGAGTTTTAAATGTTTAACTAACTTTTCCTTCATAGGGAATCAGTACTGGCTATTTAATGGAAACAAACCAGAGGTAGGATATCCTCGACCATTATCAGATCTTGGTCTCCCAACAAGTTTGAAGAAGATTGATGGAGCGATGGTGTGGGGGCATAATGGAAAGACATACCTGTTCAGTGGGGAACAATATTGGCGTTATAGTGAAACTGAAGGAGTAGTAGAACTGGATTACCCCAGAGATATTAAAACATGGAGGGGTGTTCCCTATAATATTGATGCAACCTTTCAATATAGTGATGGTAAACAACAAACTTATTTTAAATATTTTAAAGAGCAGAACTAGTTACATTTTAAGTCCTTGAAATAAAAATATTTCTCATGATTTTCAATTCCTACACCAGAAATGGAGGTCACAAACATGCAGTTACAGATAAAAATGTAAATCATATAGGATGGAAGTTTCTTCAATGATTTAATTTCAAAATCTTGGTGTTTTGCTTTTATATTATTTGATAAACATAGTTACAACTATTTATTTTATTCCAAATACTTGCTATTCTTTCTCCCTAGTTTTTTTTCCATAGGTGCATAAGGAACAATGTTTTAATCACATTTTAATCTTCATTAAAATATACAGAATAAATATATACATGAAATTTGTAAGTAGATGGCTTTACTGCCACAGGTACATACTGAAGTGTCCATAAATAACCCGCATATATATATATTACAATAGATTATTTGATAAATGTTTTTAAGATAAAGCATTGAACTTTAGAAAACAGGCTTTCTTACATTATTAATCTAATTTATTGTTCATTTGATTTTTTCAGGTAAAACTTACTTTTTTAAAAGTAAGTTCTTTTGGACTTTTAATGATCAAAGGATGAATGTTGCTGATCCACATCAGCAACATATCTCTGAAGTTTGGTTTGGTTGTCCTAGAACTAATCAACAGTTGCCTCTTGATGGAAATTCAGTTGTTCCTGTGCTTTTGAAAGCCAATAATTTGGTTTGGTGGTTGGTTACTGTTACATTGTTTTTACAGTTTTTATTGTGTTAAGGAATCAAGAACAAAAGGTACTTGATGCTTGAGTATTTATGCAATCTATGTTTCTTACTGATAGTTATATTTGAAGCATCTGACACTGTGATTATGTCTTCATTATATGTGACTAAAGAAGATGAGGAGGAAGAAGATAAAGATCTTATTCAACAGTAAGAAAAACACGTTAATAGTGATGAAGTTACATCCCATAAAAGTGTGACTTTGAGCATGAAAATGGAAACGAATTGACCTATACTCCTCATAAACTACCTACAAAACTCAAATTATTATATTCAATACAGATTATTCTTTGTTTATTTTTAAAGTTATAAGTTATTGCACCAGCTGAAGTTCTGTCTTGGCTTGCATTAATTATAAATATGGTTCCTTTTAACTGTAATCACCATTGTAGCCACTATAGTTGTGACTCTTACCAGTAATATAGTCATTTAAGGAATACCAACTCCTTAATCTACATACTACATTGATTGCAAAGATATTTATATGGAAAGACAGGTATGCTAATGTGAATAACAGAATATTGACCAAATTTATTAATAGTAAATTATTTAATGAATTAAAGTTGATAATATCAGTTAGAATCGTTGAAATCATAATCAAATAGCATCATGATATTAAATTTTGTAGAGGGAAAGGATATGTATGTTTTAAACATTTAGTTTTGTGATAGAAGAAATAAATCAACCAAAGTGTTTATAAAGCTACAAGCACAAGCCAACTAAAAAGATTGAGAAATTAACAATTGAAGAAATTTCTAGTGATCTTCATTTTCTAGCACCTGCTGCTTACCTGTGTAATGGTCAGTGACCCAAAATAAATGCATTAGAGTATAAGGAAGTACTTCTTTCCTCAGATCAACAATACTTTTGTCAGGCTTGTATCCATCCCTTTAAAGATGCACCATTGGTGCTAGAATAATTATATATTGCTTAAAAAAAGGGTAGATAAAAAGTTGTGGTTTATGTACTACTAATGTATCTGCCAAAGACCAGCAATGTTAGTTACAATTATAACCACTTGCAGTTTCTTCAGAAGACTTAATCATAATTCAGAGTCACAATTTAACTGGAAAAAGCCGACTTTGTGGTTAGAATTATAAACAAGGCCTATGTGAGTTTTTATTTTAAAGAGAAAAAACTCAAGTTAATTTGTATTCCATCTTAAGAATATTAAAAACACTATATTTTTAATGTATTTTAAGATCTATGACAGCTGAGAGAAGAAGGTATGCCATATATAATGGATAAATGGTGTTTGTTATTTTGGTGCTAATTTTTAAGGGGTTTTTTTGCACTGTAAATAGTTTTAAGTTTTACCAGAATGTTACAAGCTTTTAACATTTTGGTAAATGAAATCATATCTTAGTAAATAAATTTTCTCATGCAAGTTTACACTTATAATACACCTGTAAATTATGTTTTTAGTCTAAAAAATCTAGAACTTATGGGTTTTCTTTGGATGATTTCATTAATATCATTTTGTAGTGTTTCAGTTAATTCAAAAGTCAACAGTGAAATATATGTGAAACTAATAAGCAAGGTACTTGATGTACTCAAAATATGAGGCTTGTAACAATACTTCTTGTTTATCTTATGTTTACTGTTTTGTTGTTTATTTTAAACATGCATGGTTTTAAACACTACTTGGTTTGATACTTAATCTTTCTTGAGTTACAGTATGAGGAATCTTCAATCAGTATATCCAGAAGTCCAAAATTTATAATTATTTAAGTCTTCCCTAAGATGTTAAGGTTGAGATATTTTCAACTAATCTGTTCTTATTAGGTAAAGAAAATTTAAAGTTTTGATATGGTAAAGGGCCAGGGTCAACTTAGTGGTTTGGGTGCTTGGACTGTGGGTCTAAAGGTTTATGTTGGTGGCCTGTTGCTACGAAAACACACTCCTCACTTTAGGGCTGTAGGCACTACAGATTAGTTGCCTCCCCTCTAGTCTTTCAGTTTAAAATTTGGAATGACTATGTGCAGATAGCCTTTTTGCAGCTTCGCACAAACAATCTGAAACAAATTATATAGTAAGTATATTTTAAAAACCTTGTTGGTTACTAACGAGTACCTTATTTTACGATATCATTATTAATATTATATGTCAGTCACTTTTGAACTGAGCATTTGCCCTAATTTTTCCAAATATATTTTTAGAATCATTCAAAAATTTTCACCTGAATAGCATTATATTACCCCTAAAATATTATTTTTTCCTGGAAATTTTGATAAAAGGAAAATATTTAATAACAAAAAACTGTTTGTGATGTATTAATCAAAAATATCACTTTGTAAGATAACACTGTGAAACACAAAAAAGCAATTGTTAATTCCAAAACATGACTCAAAATCTATAGTCCTTTGAAAAGTGGTTTCTTTAGAACAGTTCAGCATGTAAAGCACTTTCAAAGACTGAACTCTATAAAATGACACAAAAGTTATAGCACTTTCAAAGAAATAGCCCAAAACTTTGAAAGAATCCATAAGCTCAAACATTTTTTGAAAACTTTAGTGCTTTCAAAGAACTGTCCACTCCTAAAATGGCTCAAGTTTTTTGGGTGTTTTCTGGATATAATAAAAACTATACCAGTAGTGATACATGTGAGTAAAAAGGAATACTATATGTACATGTATAAAAAAAAATGTTTAGGAACACTAACAACTATTATTAGGAAACTGGTAAACTCATACCACATAGTGTAATTACTTAAGAGTATTATCTAATTCATTCTTAATCACTTATTTTGCTCAAGCCAAGTTAAACTGCTGTTATTTTATGTGAAGAATTTTTAATGTCTATTGATCTAAAGCCTAGAAAAACCTCTCATTTATTTTTTTATCAAGCTGATTTGATGTATGTGGTATTACAATGAAAACTTTTTCTTTTTCATGAAGTATTACCTTTTTCATACAACAGCACTTGATATCTAGGTACTGCATAAAAATTCAACTTCTATTAAATTATTTATAAAGTTATAGTCATCATATTTATATAAGTCAATTTTTTTTCAATAAAACTTAGTCTATCCATAAAAGAATTTGTCACATTATGTGGATTGTCATGCATGTAATTTTTTTTTTCATTTCTACATGCTTTCATTTTCCTTAAGCTGTGTTCCGGCATGGCAGGTAAAGATCTGATTATGTATACTTTAATTGTAAATGGACTTCCACTACTGTATTTGCTTAATTAACTTTTGCAAACCTCTATTATAAAGAAAATATATATAAAAACTAATATAGATGATTGACCTGTATTATGTACACATTGTTTAAATTTTCAATCCCATTTTATGAGTTTAAAATATACATCAACAATTTCGAATTCTTCCACTTTTTTCTATATTTTCTATATTGTTAAAAATGTTAACCGAGACTGTAGTATTTGTTTTTGTAAAAATATTACCCATCTCTTATTATGATACTGGTTTGTCATTAATATCATAAATATTAAACTTTGTTCATGCAATAACATTACTGATTTCACATTACATAACCTGCAAATAGAGAAAAAGAAAAAGCTTATTCCTTTTAATCTTTTAAACGACAAAGAACTTACAAAACTTTTATTTAACTGTATGTACTACGAAATGCAATGCAAAAAAGTAAAAATTATTATCTTCTGTTATTTTTTTCACAAGCAGTAAGCAGCAGTTTTACTAGATGTCTCTAATAGCTAACAGTATTAGACTCAACTTTTTTTAAATAAGTTCTCAAAGACCTTTGTAGGAAGCCATGTTTCCACTTCTGTTGTTCTATGTATATCAGTAACACAAAAGTGGGAAACATGTCATGATATATTTCTAAAATTACAATGGTAATATTATCTTCCAAAAACATTATCTTCCTATCTTGAATACTTTTATTGTTGTGATACTGGCACAAACACTGTACATATATGATTTTCTTTTCAACAAAGCAAATTGAAATAATATTTTAATGAAATACTTCAAGTAACTAGGAATGTTTGTTTTGTTTTAGTTGTTAACTTGAAAACAATTGAAAATTTTAGAATTAATCAGTCTATAAGAATTTAAAGTGTGTGTGTTGATGTATGACTTGTGGTAACAGTAATACCTTGTTTAAATGATGTTTAGTGTTTTTAATATTTCTATTTTATTGTACATGTATCAGAAGAAATTTAAACTTACAGAATTATAAATGGTGAGATATTTTAGCATTTTTTCATCACTGCCTAAGTATGTTAAATATTTGACTACATCTGCTCTTGAACAACAGGGTATCTAGGAGGCTTATATGATGCAATGTTTTATACACAGACGATATTCATATTTTTGAAAATATGGATGTTTATGTTGTGGAATCTAGCTTAACGTTTCAGTAAGAAGATTATGTTGTAAGATATGTTTTTGTATTACCATACTTAATAGTATTTTTACATAAGGATAGTTTAACATAAAATTTGTCTGGGCTGTATATCTTATATCGAGTTGCATGGTGATAGCTAGTTAAATTTATATATGGTATGTAGCTTGCATTTTAGCAGTTTGCTATTACTGGGTCAGCTTTAGTCTTATGTGACTCTGATAGTTACAGCCATTAAAAAAAATGATGAAACAGGATACTCAAATAGTTCAATATACTTTATACTGGTAAAGTTTAAGGTGTAAAGTCCTTTATTATTAATACTGGTAATTTCAAATATGGATTATTTCATAATTTACAAGAAAAACTAAAACAGTACTTCTACTTATGTTGCATTCCATGAAAACTACAAACATTTGCTTTATTATACACCATGCTTAAAACCTATGCATACATCATACTAATTATAATCACTTAATCCTCGTGGCCAACTAGTTCTAAGTGTAAGATCTATTCCTGACTAATTGTTTCTTTATGTGCAAAAATATGTATATTTAAAGATTCCTGAAGTAAAAATACTTTATTACATCTACACACATATAAACCTCAAAGACATAATGTATTTTTCCTGTTTTATCATATTAATGCTTAGAATGTTTTGATTCCTTTGTAAATTTCAAATATGGTATGAATCAATAAATTCTGAATGAATTTGATGTGCTCAAAATATGAGTCTTGTAACAATACTTCTTGTTTATCTTACGTTTACTATTTTATGGATTGTTTTAAATATGAAACATTTTAAACACTAAATGGTTTGATACTTAATCTTTCTTAACTTTCATTATGAGAAATCTTCAATCAACGTATCCAGTGCAATACATTACTTAACATCACATATAGGCAGTGTGATACATTATGTAATAACACAACATGCAGTTAACTATTGGAGTGTGCAAGAAACCTGATGATATATATATATATAATGAAATAAATAGCTTCAATACTATTAATTATATTAATTGTTGATAGGCGACTAAAATCAGCACTATAAAACGATAAAGAAGTTAATATAAACTAAGCATTAAGAAGATTTTAGTAAAGAATCCATTGTAAATCCTAGTTGTCACCTTAAAGTCGTAATGGATAATACCTGTTGTAATAGCTCCAAAATTCATTGGGGATATCCCATCTACCAGACAAAATCCAATTGCTGATGTTAAACTAGCCAGCAAGCATGGATAATCAAATTATGGTATGGAGCTGAGTGTTAATACCTACAACGTCTCAATTCCTTATACTGCCTTTCAATGTCTGCAGCCAGTTGTGGAAAGGCAGTTACCCTTAAAAGTTCTTATAATCCTACAGTAGAAATACTGCTAGGAGACACAATTATTTGTTGCAAAAAGCTGAAGGCTATGTTTTTCTTCATATTACTGTATTGATTACATTCATTACCAGCTACTTGCTATTTCTTAAGAATGAAACTGCATTTCAACAGGACTGTGACTATAAACCAGTTTTATTTTAACTGCTTCTGCTATACTATCTAGATTGTAATGCCTAGCAACTTTAACTAGAGAAAAAAAAAAAGTGGTGTACATACAAAAGATAACATCAAAAATTTGGTTTTAAGAAAGAAAGAAAGTGTAGGTGCTTTAGTTGAATGATTATAATGAATGGGCTGGTTCAATAAAAGTGCTACCATTATACAACACTGTATATCATATTTGAAAGCTATGATTTCATGTTCAATAGTTCACTACAAATATTATTAGAATAGCATTTGTTAAGGAGGAAAAATCAGTATACTGAAAGTTATATTTCAGGATGGATAGTCTTGAATTAAATGAATTGAGTAAGAAGCTCAAAATTCTCAAGTGATTAAACCAATTGCCTATTTGCAAGTTTAATTTTTCGGAAAATAAGTTGTGTCTAGAAAAAGTTGTTTGAATTTTAGAGATTACAGTTTCAAGTTTTAGAATTTTAATTGCGAGCTTATTTTGAGTTTCATATTTTAGTAAATTTGTAGTGATTTATTGGAGAGAGTAGTATTTGAAGTTGGCTATGGTTCTTTCAAGGCTATATTGAATGAATTTAAGGAGAAAAATGGTTGATGTTAATTAAGTCTGTAGCTTTTTTTATTTAAAACTGTATATATATTGTAAAATATATCTCTTTAGTTCAGTTAACCATTGATCATGTATTACCAGTGTAAACAATTATCGGATAAATTCGTTATTGGTTGATTTACTACCATGTGACGCTATGTCATCCGTTAAAAGTTAGCACGTTTTATCTGTTAGCTGTCAGTGAAGACTATTCAGAATAATTTGTATTAATACAACACCACCTTTTGGTACATAATGATTTTGTTACTTACGTAAAATGCTGTTTTTAGTATTCTGTGCTATATATCTTGCCATAACTGGCCCATCAGTTTATCAGGATACGCCTGAAAGTCAGAGAACGTGTTGCTGTTTCGAACAACTGTCATTCCTCTTTGAAAGTAGTGCACTTCCGATTGTGCATGCTCAACGATACTGCCTAAATCTGCTGGAATAAAGTATGGAACACGTTACGTGCTAGGAAAGTATATAACATAACGTTTACTGCAATGTTTCCCAGGATTGAGCTCTTTCGGTTTAATGTTAAATAGTTCTTCTTTGGTTATTCCGAAAGAACTTTCAGATGTACATCCCGCAACAGCATCAAGATTACATGCTGACTCTGGTTCTTTGTTTGTAGTGTTCAGTGCAGTTGAAATAATAAATGTTTCGCATAGAGATTTTTGTACAGATATCTTCTTATATATATATATATATATATATACCATGTACAGTGGTTCTTCATAGGATTATTCCAGTAACTCTGTGTAGGACAGGTTTCTCGAATTCAATATTTTATTAATTGCTTAACTTCAACATTTTTGTTTCTAAAGTTATTTTCTAATTTCCAGAATCTCTCTATTCGATTAATCACATTTGCAGCTTTGAGGCAGTTCTGCAGAAGGTGTGGATGCTGATGCCTTGTTTTCCATTGGCTTCACGACATCTCTATTTTTAGATGATTCGCCAGACCCATTTTGCAGCAGCTTGAGTTCCCTTAGATGAAAATCCCTGTATTCCATCCATTTCCGAAAGTGATGGGAATATCTGAGTTGACTTTGATATACTGTAGGTCAGTAATTGTACATAACAATGCATCTCTGACTCAATATGCAGGATGTCTCATACAATATATATTGGCTGATTTGAAAGTTTTCTCTTTACCCTGCCAGATTTACAGTATTTTGGAGTACACTTTGATTGTGTAGCTATGGATGCTTGAGGAGTTCAATCAGTGTCTGGCATAGGTGAATTATTTCTCCTAAACTGCTTCTGTTAGAACTCAAGCTGCCTCTTCTTTAGGTTATCTAACTCACTAGAAACAAAACAAGAACAAAAAAAATGGGTCAGGAAGATTGTTAATACTTTATTCCTTTTTAAAGCATAAATAACAGTTTTATCCGCGTTTATATGTATTAATTGTTGACTATTATTAGGATGAAATTAAAAGTTTATATTGTAGCATTCCACCAAGTAAACGTAGATAATGAAACAAGTTAACATGGATGATTTACTACCGATAAAACGTAAACTAGCAAGCGGTTATTTTATGTAAACTAATAAACTTACAGAGCTTTTAAATAAACTTATACTTACAAGAACAGTATAAATAGCAAGCTTTACTTCAATCCAAAGAATTGGGAATTTAAAAATATGTAAATAGGGATTGTAAAAAAAAGTAAGGAAACAAAGGCTGGAGTCTCTATACCAAGATTTACACTGTATCTCTGGCCTTTTTTGCTTACTTTTTTCGAATCCTATTAGCAGATTTTTAAATTCCCAATTTTCTATTTATCTTGTTTGCTGGTTTTTTTATGCTCAACTATGGGCAAAGGATTACTTGATATGGTAGGTAACCCTATATATTGAAATAATAATTAACATAGCTAGTGGGTAACTGATACAGTACATGATGTACTGTAACCGTTGACTACTTGATTGCATTAATTCCAGATGTACACTGTTGAGTTGCAGCTGGAGATTGTACGAGAATACAGTGAACATATATAGTTTCTGAGTATCAAAACTCTACATATATAATGCATAGCAGTGGGCAAATATATGCCTAGACTAAGACACAACCCCTACTAAGCACGTATAAAATTTTACCAGTGGAAAAGCAGCCTTTTCAAATAAAACATACATGTCTAAAACATCGCTTTAAGTAAACCTTTGTGTCTTTTGAGGTTAATTATTCTAAGAATGTATGTAATAAAATTTAATATTATGTGTATTGATTTTTTTTATCCTTCACTTCATACATAGTATTGGGGTTGGCTCCCTAAAGACACCAGTAGTAAGGCTAGCACTTAGATGACCCGGCGCACATGTGTGTGTATGTGTCTACACCGAAGATGACAAGGTCATAGTTCCGAGTTTTGCCACCAGGGTATGTGTGTCGTTAGGCTGCTATGACAGGCGGCCATGTTGTCATAGTGTTGAAATTGTAGTTCGATACCAGACAGATAGTTATGATGTCATAGTGTTGAATTTATTGTTCGATACCAGACAGACTACCATAATTGGTGATTACGTAATAGTGTCACGAAGTAGAGGATGACTCATAGATGTTTCAACATGAATCTTACTATAAAGGAACTTACGATGTATCTAACTATCTATATGTCCAAAACTCCAATAGTACCCGTTAGATGGCAGCAAACACCCAGTAATTTTATCTTGATGCATTGCGTTTTTTATGTCCTTTCATTAATTCCCGTACAGAGGATCAGTACTACAGCTAGAATAATCAATAATTAATTACATTGTCCTAAAATGGACGCTTAACATCAGTTAATCAATTCATCCTAAATAAGTTCCCAGTTGATTTTTGCAAGCCCGTTCCCTTGGCTGTGGTTTCACTAAATAGTAGATAGGGACAGTGGGAATCTCGTTAATCCCTTCATTCGCATCACCAATTAGATGTCGAGGCATTTGGCTATCAATATTTTCCATTACCCAATATTACGTCAGGATCGATGCTACCGATAGATGCTGGGGTTTTCTTCATGAAATGGCGAGATGTTATATATCATCCCAGCTAGCCACAGTAGGAGAAATCACTGATAACTTACTAAATAGTAAGATATGTTTCGTTATTTGATTTCCACAACAAGTTCAGTGTGTAGAGGATGGTATGCCTACACAAGAACTCTTCAAAGTACTTGGACCTGAAATCTAGATCGGCCAGCACGTCCATGTTTTCAGGAAGCTAGGCACCACGGGCGCTTATAAGGAGACCATGAAAGCAATGGAGGTAGCCCCTATAAGTTATTTTATTTGTGGAGCCAAATTTTCGTATCGAGTCACTTTGGAAGCATAAGCTTCTTTCAGTGATTCACTCATGAGTTCATAACAAACCATCGTGTCAACAACCACCGCTTTATCATCATGATGGAAGATCAGATCTGGCCGCCGACGCTCACCAGTGTTAGTCATAATGGTTGGTTCTTGGAGAACTTTCCATCCTTTGTGACTCGCCTCCGTGATCAAGTGGTCACAGATTTTGTGGTATGCCGTATTCTCATAGGCTTCAATTTTGGACATTAACCACTTAGATGACATAGGGTCTCTCTCATTGCTGTGCATCCCCGACATTT